TTTGACATATGTTGTGTTGGTTTGAGACAAAGTTCTTGCTCATTTGGGGCAAACTTTTTGCTGGCTTGGGACACGGTCCCTATTTGGACAGCAGAACTGGTGGAGTGATTCTTCTTGTATAACTTCTGCACGTGTTTGTGTAGGATTCATTTAAATTTCTCCTGGTAGAGTGGGTGGAACTCGCCAGTAGAACAGTCAACTGTATTTCTGTTATGAATCGTAATTTGTTTATAATAATAAAACAGTGCGCATTTTCTTTGCATGTTAGTTTTGGTAAATTGTACAGCTGTAGACTGTTATGGATCTCATGTATATTTTTAAATCCATTAGTTGTACGTATGGTAATAACCTCACATTATTTTTCCAGTGTCCACAGCTTGGTTGTGATGTCCTCTGCTGTCTCTGAGTCCGATTATGTGTAACTGAGTCCTGTTTGTTACTCGGTCCCATCAGCTTTGCTGTCTGAAGCACGGGCTTCCCTCATGGATTCCACGACTGCATCTTCCTTGTGTGCTTCCTCTTTGTCCCACTTTTTGGGGCTTCATTTCCTGTCCCTTTTGTATTTTCTTGAGATGAATGCTTAGACCTCTGCTTTTCCCCTTCTTTATCATACATTAATTTTGGGAAAGTTATTTCCATCTGGGCACGGCACTAGGTACACCCCACTAGTTTTATTATTCAGTTCAAAGTATTTTTCCACGTGATTTGTAACCGAGGGTTGGCTAATATTTATTGGCTAATAAAGGCTTTTATTTGGCTTCTGGGTCTACAGATATTTTCCAGTTACCATTTTTGTTACTGAGTCTTAGCTTAATTACTCTGAGGTAGGAAAACAATGTTTTTATTTTAAATCTGTGGGGTATATTGAGAGTTTGTTGGGTTAATCTCTGAAAATGGCGTTTTGAAACACTGTATTTGGCATCGGTCAGTTCTGTGTTTTATGTCTCTGTAAGGTCAGACACACTGAGGTGTGGTTCTGTTTCCTTGCTGATATTTTGTTGGTTTATTCCTTACTGACAGACGTTGATGAAAATTCACGTTGGCTACCTAGTTGTTTGTTCCGTATAGTATTTGTCCTTTACTTCCATCAACTTTGGCGTGAATAATTTGAAGTCACGTAAGTGCACACAAATTCGAGATTCTTTTTTTAAATTTTTTTGGTACTGGAGATTGAACTCATGACCTTGTGCTTGCCAGGCAGGTGCTTATGCTGCTGAGCTAAATCCCCGGCCCTAGAGATTCCTGTCTTTGGGGTAGTTGGCCATTTTTGCATTATGAAGTATACCACTTCACACCAGCTGTTTTTCTTGGGTTTCTTTACACTGGAGCCAATGCCATTTTCTTCTGACCGTGTTTTGCATAATATTTTTTGTTGTGATTTTACTTTTGACTTTTCCCTATTCTTACATTCTTTAAGTGCAAGAGTAAATTGAATATAGTTGGGGTTTTCCTTTATGTAACCTGTCATATTTTTTCTTGATCATATGTTATTATATTTTCTTTTTTACAATTACTGATATATTTGCAAATCTACCTTCCTACTCAATGAGAAATAGATAGTCTGCTTATTCTAAATTTTCCTTTACCTTTTCTTGCTTTGCTTGGATTGATAATTTTTATTGTTTTATTTTTCCATTTATTATTTTGGAACTCATACAAGTCTATGCATTGTAGTGACATTTCAAAGGACTTAAAACAGATATATGTGTCTTATCAGTATATCCAGGATGGCTGTCCTTCATCCAGAAATCAAAAACAGAAATGCTTCCAGACCTGAAACTCTGAGCATCACCATGCTGCCACACGCAGAGCACAGCGCACCTGACCTCGCACGACGGGGCACAGTGAAAACACTGCTAACACCACCTCCCAGCGGCGCGAGTGAGGGACACACAAAGCATAAAGGAACTGTGTGTTTGGACTTGGGCCCCCTTCCCAAGACACCTCATTATAGGAAGGAATAGCCCACAATCTGGAAAATCTGAGACGGAGGCTGGGCTGGTTCCAGGCATCTCGGACTAGGGATTCTTAGCCTGTGCTATTGTGGTGCTCCAGCATCTCCCTGAAGGGCACACCTCAGATCCCCCGGCTGCAGCAGCCGCTCCCAGGGTTCGCGCAGTTTTCACAGTCCACCTGAACCTTTTAGCTCACGCCCCCGGAAATACCACGTTGCTGGGCTCCTTCACCCTCTCCTGTGTTCTTAGCCTTCATTTTCGTCCAGTTCTGCTATTTCACCTCACTCTCTCTTTTACCTAAAGAACACAACTTGTGGCAGATTCTTACCGCTTTTGTATTTGAAAGATTCAGCTCCACTTCAGCTCCACGTCAGCTTCTTTTTAAAGAAGTGACTCGTAGAATCCTGTTCTCTTGTAGCACTTTAAAGACATCGTCCCATTGGCTCCCAGTCCATACATTCTGGGCAGGAGCCGGCCTCGGTCTGCTGCTCCTTCCTGGGGACCCCGCCTCTTCTCCAGCTGGGGTCAGGATTTTCTCTTTGACTTCTGATTTTGGGTCTTTTACAGTAAAGTACTGTGGTGCAACTTTTGTATATTTATCCAGCTCTCAGGCTTCTTGAATCTGTCTGGAGATCTGCTGCAACTTTTTGAAGACTTTTCTACCTTTATCCTTTCAAACATTACGGCTGCTGCATTTAATTCCCCCTCACACTCCACGTGTACGCGTGTTAGACCTTCTTTGTACTTCTCCAATGGCTCCTGTCCTGTCTTCTGTATTTTTCCTGTGCTTTCCTTCTTCTGTCCCTTTGTTTCCATCTAAATTGTTCAATTTATTCTTTTTTATATTTCCTTGTTTAAATTCTGTTAGAATCTTATATTTAACTTGCTTAAACATAGTAAGCATGGTGACTGTAACATGTGTGTCTGAAAACCCCCTCACCTGCAGCCCTGGAGGTTTGTTTTAGTCATCTGCTGTGTCTCCTGAGTTGGACTGAGGTTGTCCTCTTTCATCTCATGTGTCCAGTCACTTTCAGTTGCGTGCTAGACGCTATATAGAAAGGAAGAGGGAAGCCTGGCAGAGTGCACACACCAACAATCCCAGCACTCTGGGAGGTTGAGACAAGAGGATCACAGGTTCCAGCCCTGCCTGGCAAATTTGGTGACTTAGAGAAACCTTGTTTCAAAATAAGAAATAAATAGGGCTGGTGATATGGCTCAGTGTGAGGGCCTTTGGTTCAATTCTCCATACAGACAGAAAGGAAAAAGGAAGAAAGTCAGAGTGGGGGAGAATCAATAAGAGAGATGTGAATTGGGTGGAGGAGGACTAGGTGTGAGGGGCTGCCATCGCCTGTGCCGGTCACGTCTCACGGATTGGGGGATGATGGGGCCCACTACATGCTCTGAATCTGGGACGGGAGTTCTGACCCCCCCCCCCCCCCAGCTGGGTGCGTCCCAGGCCCACTGTGGGGTTTTCGGGCATCTGACCTGGAAACCACCTAATTGCAATCAGCACCAGTGCCTGCACCTTCCAGGAGGACTGGGGATTAATTGCATCAGAAATTGCTTCATTAACATGCCAAACAAAAGGTGTCATTCTATTTCCAGTTGGTGCCTTTTGTCTGAAAGCCTTCTAGATTGAGAGGGGCTCAGCCTTTCTGCTCACAAGGTACAAAGTTTCTGCATCACAATCTGGTCGGAGGGCAGCTCGGCCACCAAGTCACAGGGGTGAGCAGGGAGGTGAGTGCTGCCTCCCAGCATCTGGGGTCCCAAAAGAGAGGGGAAGGACCCTCAGCAGGGATAGCCAGGGACTCGGCTGCCATCCGGCCTGCCCTGCCATTGCCTTCTGATCGAGTGTGGCTTGGGCTGATGGCGCAGGTAGGAGCGAAGGATACATCTGCCTGCCTCAGTCCTCAGCATCCGAGGGGGCCCGTGCTGGCCGGGCCTGGAGATGGGGTTTGAGTCCTGGTTGGCATGCCCAGGAGGACACAGAGGACCTCCTTCCACAGCGGGACCTCCTCATCATGGGCAGTGAAGACTGTCCTCCCATGTCCCCGCTTTTTCCTCTCTCATGAAACCATTTTTACTTCTGCTCAGTACACAAGATGGTACAGGAGTCCCTGCTTTCCCAAAGCGGGCTCGGTGGCACATTTGTCGTGAAACTGCTCCATGCTCAATCTGATAGTTTTGGAGAAGCTCTGCAGCAAGTGTCCATGTCAGAGGCTCACAAGGTGCCTTCAGCCATGGCAGGATCTGGGCAACTGAGCTGAGGCTCTGCTCAGCTTCCTTCTACTCCTCTTCTGGGGTGCGGGGAGTGGGGTCTGAGCGCCTGCTCAGGGCCGGCTTCTGAGAGACCTGGGGTGTCAAGGGCTCAGCACCTCTCCCCTCGCCTGCTGGCTCTCAGGACCAGGGGAGGCGGAGTCACCAGCCTCACTCCTTTGTGCAGCCACCCGCATGGGCCACGTGGATGGCTGTGAGTGTGTGTACCTGTGTGCACGCACGTGTGCGCTGAGGCGTGGTAGCACCAACTGCTGGTGTCCTGGTGTCCCTCCCTTTGTGCCCCTCCCTGGCTTCCTCCCTCCTCCCCCCTCTCCCTGGTTTCCCTCCCTTTCTCCACTTTCCAGCTCTCCGCCCATCGCCTCCCCCCAGCTCTGCCTCTCCCTCCCCTCCACTCCCCGGCATTGGCACTGGGCTTGCCCCAGCTCCTCTAGCGACTCTGCCAGCCTGCGGCTTCTGTCTTGTCATTTCCCTGGGACTTGAGGACCTGGTGGGTGAGTGCAGCTGTCAGGCCGCAGGCTGCAGTCTGTGGTGAACAATTTGAAGTGGAAATGGGGCAGCTTTGTTCAAAACTACAGAGAGGTCTGTGTGCTGCCCAGGTGGCCAGCATGTGATGGCCACCAGCAGAGGACAGTGCAAAGGCCAAGGCGTGTGGCCTTCTCTGCCACAGAGCTGCCCAGCCTCATGCTCAGGGAGCCTGGAGGAGTTCCTACCCGGGCCTTTGGGGCAGTGGGACCTTCATTCCCAGGAGGAAACTTTCGTGATCCCTACCTTGTGTCCGGAGTGTGAGGACCAGGTCTGGGCCACCAGCAGTCGCACCATGGCATCCCACTGCTTGGCCGTCTGGTGGTCCTTTGCCGTCACCGTGAAGGCCACCTGCTCAGAAGGGATCTGCAGCTCCCGAGTGGCGAAGACGGTCCCGTCTGCCCCGACTTTGAAGTCCATACTGTTGGTCTCATACTGTGTCCCCTTGGTCCCCACACAGCTGCTGAACTTAACTGTAAGAGGAGAGGAGGACACGGTCAGGAGGGCAGTCACAAACGAGCTCTGGGTCTCCAGCGAGCACTGGGCAGGCAATGGTGTCCGAGAAGGTGGCGGGAATTCGCCGGAGGCTGGGAAAAAATGGAGGGGAAAATGGGAAAGAAGCCCTGATGCACATCCGCTCTCCAAACCAACCGCGCTGTCTGCAGATGCATCCCCGCCTACACGGCTGCCTCTGCCCTGCCAGCCGGCGGAGTTCTCTACCCAGCTGTGCTGCCATGCAACCCCCTGCCTGCCTGTTAGACCCCAATGGATGGATTTTTCCACACAAGAAAGCTAAGGGCAGCAAAGTTACCAAAAGTTGGCATTTAAAGACTGTTCCCCAATGGCAAGTCCACTTTGGGAGTGGAACTCAGCGGAATGTCTAGGCTTCTGCGCAGCACTGGGGGTTTGCACTAACCTGCACCCCCAGTTCCTTTTGTATTTTTTATTTTGAGGCAGGGTCCTCTTAAAGTGCCCAGGATGGGTTTCAACGTGTGATCCTCCTTCCTCAGCCTCCCGGAGTGAGAGGGTGACAGACCTGCCCCACCTTGCCCAGCTGGTCCTTGTTACTTAGCAAGGACGGGACAGCTGGCCCAGCCCTGGGCTGTCTGGCTTAGCTGCAAACAGAGCTGAGGCAGACAGTGTGCCGTGTTGACACTGCTGGGGCTGCACATTGCTTTGCTTCCGAAACATTAATTAGACGACCGAACTGCCACCTCCCTCCTCCCCATGGCTCCAGCACCACGGCCACTGTTAACTCCACCGCAGAAAAGCCACCTCCAAAGCCCGTATTCATTTGCAGCGCGTTAGGGAATTTTTATACATGCGCTGCTGCAGCTGCTGCCGAGCGCAGTGGTAAATTATGAAGCCGGTGTCACTTTCTGCTGATAAAAACGGTGGCTAAAGTTACCTGGTATTCATAAAAATGTGGGTACCTAAGCAATTATGGTGGGAGGACTGGTGTTTTTGAGAGCAATTCCACTGTCACAGCTTATATGATTTAATTACTATTTATTCTACAAAACTAAAAGAAGCTACTCACATTATGTCTCATAAAGCACTTTCCCCTTGCTTTATTGTTGCTTGTCTTGAAATAATAAATAACACGCGTGATTCCTTATCTCAAATACTTCACTGTAGATGGCTCGGGCTCCCGGCACCGCCCACTTGTGGCTTTGAGATGTGGGGAAACCAGGAGTTTCTCACTGTCTGGCCAAAAGGGAGGTGTGGCTCTGGCCCAGGCAGAGCCATGGGGACTGTGGTTTCTCAGATGGACAAGGCCAGCCACCATGCAGGGTGGCCTACAGCTCCCTGGAGCTATCCCCCCACCACGGAGGGAAAAAAAGTGCTTTGTCTTCAAGTGAGAGGAAAATTCCAGACTGCTTTTACTGTTCTGTTCGCCCCAACAGTAAACAAATTAAAATCAGCACAAACTGAGCGGATCAATCGCTTCTGACACCCAATTGTCACTGACAAAGATAAAAATGACAGTCCTGTGATTGCCAAGAGATTAGCACAAAATATATAAATAAGCCCCTTTGTTCTCCAACACCAAATTTCTCATAAAATTGATGGATTTGGACAGCAGCGGGGGGGGGGGTCTCTAATAACGACGCTGTGCGCTGTTTTGTACGGAACTGGCACAGAGCTTTAGTGACATCTTGGCAAGCTTCTGGACCGCCTGGAGAAGAAGTTACAGCACCTGAGCTGCCCACACAGGGGCCGGGAGTCCCTGTCCACAGGCGCCAGGACCGGGAGGTGACATATGTCCTCCATGGAAGGCACCTCGTGGAGATTCAAGGTGCAGCCTGAGAAACAGCTCTGCCGTGCAACCTTGTGGGGCCAGTGAGCTTCTTAGACTCCCCTGAGGGTTTGGAGGCTCCTGTGGTCAGGCACAGGCCCGTTCAGTCACGAGAATGCTCAGGCCTGTGTGACAAGATGCCTCCCAACCCCTGGTTCCCACAGATCTGGTGCTGGCCAGGGCAGGGGTGGCCAGTACCCGTGGGCCGGGGACTCCTAGGCGTGGGGAGCAGCTCCTGGGAGCAGGGTCACTTGTGTTTGAGACCGCACTGTCATGGTCAGATGGCAGTGAGACATTAGGAGTGTGGGGTCCCCGAGGGACTGGTCCAGCCAGAGGCCCACCTGCCAGAGACGACCTGAACATGGGGTACCGGGGGTAGGAGAGAGAAGGCCTGCGAAGACAGTCCTCGCTCCTGAACCCCCTTCCTGGGCTATACCTTTCTCTCAGAGTGAAGCTGAAGCAGGGTGTTCCTCTGAGAGAAGAGCAGCCGCACTGAGTGTGTGAACGCGCCCAAGAAACCCTGCAACTGGAGTTTAAACTGCTCGATGCACAAACACTGTTCAGAGCTTTACTGATGCTTGGCTCACTATAGAAAGAGCGCAGGAGTAAGCAGTGGCCAGACCTGCAGAAGAAATGTCTGGGGTCCTATGGTGCAAACCCTCCTCCCTCAGAAGTCCATTTGTTTCCCTATCTGTCTTTATGAATTGCCTGCAGCTGGTTTCCCTCTTTACTCTGGCTGCTGGGAAGCTCAGAGGCAAGGTCTCAGCGGGATGGGAGGCTGTGAGGCATTAGTGCCTCCCAGTGTGCTCTGTTCTATTTCCTGTCTTTGCTTCTTCTTCGGTCTGCTTCCCGTCACATTTTGGAGGCTGCATCTTTCTGCACTTGAGGCTGAGTGCACTTGAGGGCTATTGAGCAGTGTCAGGTGGCTGTGTGTCCTAGTCTGGAGGGTAGGTTCCCAGGACACTGCCCAGCAGTGTGAGGTTGTTACCCCAGTTAGGACAGCCTGGCCCAGTGGAATCCTCTTGGGACAGCCCTTTGCAGCTCTTTTGTTAGGGGAAAAAGCCGTGGATGCAGCCTGCCGCCGCCGGCTTCCTGGCCCTGCACGAACACATTTGGCGGATGCTCTTCTTTGCATATTTGCTTTTGATCTTCTAATTTCTCTCCCAGTCTTCCAGAGAAAACAAAAACCCTCGGGGAGTCCCTAGGAAACGTCCCTCCATGTGTTAGACAAAACCAACAAATGTCACGGAAAACTCTTCTGTTTTAAGTGCGGATCACACATTTTACTGTGGCTCCGTTCAGACCTTCCTGGGCCGGTTTGTCTCTCCTGAGCACTGTCGCTGTGCTGAGCACCTGCCAGGCCCGGGAAGGCAGCGCTGCTCCCAATTTGCAGGGGAGGAAACCGAGGCTTGGAGGCAGCTCGCCATTTCTGCAAGGCAGCAGGGAGGCGTGGGATTGGGGACCCACCCCCAGGGGACTCCACCTGCTACTGGGCTGCACCCGGGGTCACCATGCCGGGCAGCCTGCAGGACCCTTCCCGCTGCACTAGTGTCTGCACTGAGGCACCGAGGCTGCAGCCTGCCGGCCCGCAGGACACCCGTCCCTTCTCGCCTTGGCTCTCCATGCCGAGCTCTGCTGCATAGGTGGGGAGACAGCCCACAGGGATATGAGGAATCTGCCTGGAAGAGGAGGAGGAGGAGGTGGCATCCGTTCTGGCCTCAGCTCCTGGATACCTACTTGCCTGGCGCTGGGGCAGTCGAGACCTGCTGTACCTCCCTTCTATGTGGTCTCACTTGATGAGAGACTGAAGAACCCCGAGAGAAAGCGGATCTAAGGAACACACGCAGCCCAAGCCTCCCTTGCACCATCCTCAGTGGCTGTGGCCAAGGTCCCTGCAGTCAACACTGAAGACAGCACCAGGAGTGGACCCGGGGCAGGATCCCGAGTATCTGCTGGGCTGCACCGGAGACCCCGGTATCCTCACAAAGCAGTGATCACAGTGGCCAGCATCGTTGTGAACCCCAGCTGGTCCGCAGTGCCCTGGGCCCTGTCGGTGTGTACTGTGCATGTGTGCATGCCCCTGTGTGTGTGTGTGTGTGTGTGCACGCACACGCGTGTGCCTGCTTCACCTGTACCTGTGAGGACCCTTGGGATGGCAGCAGGCACCCTCCCGTCTCGGGCTGGTCCTTGGCTGGTCCGTAGGCCCCTGCTGACCAGCCAAGACCTGCTTCTTTCCTTCTAGGGGATGGCGCAGACAACTTCTTTAAAAGTCCTGCCTCTTTGTCACTTGGCCTCTCTCACCTGATGCGTGCATGGCTGGGAGGGTACAGTGACCCGGATCAGGAACTTTGGCACAGACAGCACTCACGCTCTGGAGAGGAGGCACAGTGCCGTCAGGAGGAGCGGCTGGGCCTCACCCCTCATCCTCATCATTTTTAATTGCTGGCAGCTTGGACGGAGCCAGGGAGGCTCACAAGAGGGAGCAGGGATCAGTGTCACACAGTCTAGTCAGCCTGCTTCCCCAGTCGCAGTGGCAGCCCGACATTTATGGGGGTGGCAGGCTGTGTCTCCCCAAGAAGGGCATGCTGAAAAATAGGGCTGTGGCTGCAGAACCCCTCTTTCTGTTATTTTTCTTGTTAGGTGAGTCAAGAGAGAGCAAATGAGCCAAAGGTGAGCTTGTAGCTGGAACGGCGCCGACAGTGCACGAGTCTCACACCTTCTAGCTCAGTCAGCGGTGCCACGGCCTTTCCCCCACTTCTTCCACCATCTACCCGCAGCCTCTCCAAAGTCCATGCACTGTTCTAGCTGCCGGGGAGTCAGATGTCACCCATAGGGAACTCACAGACCAAACCACAGAGCCAGCGTGTGAGCAACATCACCATGGTGAGGACAGCAAAGGTGACAAAGAGGAGAGGGTGGCAGGCAGGCAGCATCTGTCCTAGGTGACGGGTGGAGGGACAGCTGGAGGAAGAGTGCTCTGGACAGCAGCAGTGCAAAGGCTCCGAAACATTTGGGCCCGGAGCCTGCCCTGCAGGGACGGGGGCTGCAGGACCCTACAGTGTGTGGCTGGGGCAGCACTTCCCAAGGGGTCTTCCTCTGCCTTTGAAGACAGCGTGGGGCTTGGAGGAGACAGTAGGCTGGAGAAGAAGCCGAAGCAAGGGAGTCCTGGTTCTC